TTTTTTTATTAGCGGAGCTCGACTTTTCCTAGCTGCAGGCAGTCACAATTAATTACTCACCGCTGTCGGTAACACAAGCCATCAAATCCGATTTGTTGTTACATTCCATGAGCTCAATGTGCTTTCATATTTTGAGGCAAATTAACACAAATTTTCAACACTCGTTAATATAGTATGGGTAGGGCATATTTCCCATTATCGCTGAAATGCAAAAAAGCTACAACTAACATTTTTTATTGCATAAAACGATGTGGGGACCTATGATTCGATGAAATGCATCATAATCAATCAAAAAGTGAATTTTGGATTTTAGTTAGTTACGGCTTTTTGTATTTCAGCAGCGATGTGAGTTACGCCTTTTCCATATCATACTAACGATATATTGCATGCCAAGACCCATTCCTTAATAGATATTAAATTCACCTTGGATTAATTCTTATTGGATTTGTGAACTTGGTTGTCAACTTATTCACATATCATTTTATCTTTATTTCGATCCGTGCTAATTTTGGACAATTAGTACAAAATTAAAATAAATCTTATTGTTTTCGAGCTGAAAGACTAATAAAAGGGAACACGGAACTTAATCATAATAAGTTTTGTGAGAAAATAATAATTACACTTATCTAAGAAAAAGTACTAAAAATACTAGCGATGCATCCAGTTTATTCAACAGACCTTTGACAAATAATATTCGATAGTTACATAATTCTTACCTAATTGAAGGTTATCTTTTAACGCACAAATATTCGATTCTCTTTATAGCTAGACGTTGAACATTTCCCCTGGAAATACCTTTTAAAGGATCTTACTCCTTGACTTTAAATTATAAAAGAAGGGGAACGTAGGGGGACAATTTTAAAGTAGCATCTCAACAAGAAAAAATGTTGGCTACAATTTGTCATTTTGTTCGCCAGATATACGTTTTGTCAGTGCACTTGCTCAATATTTGCATTCGCAAAAGCTCCGCATTGATTATTGCGAATGCGAAAGCGAATGCGAGTGTTGAAATTAATGCGGAAGCTCCGCAGTTGCGAATGCGAATGCGAATATTCGCAACAACCCTGATACTTAGTATGTGCCTAAGCTGTTGCATTCTTATTAATTAATAGTTGATACGACGAACATGAGTAGTTTAACATAAATTAATGCATTATTAGTACTAATTAGTGCATGGAATAATTTTGTGTTTGTGCAGAACAAATATATTTACATACGTGTGTGGAGTAAAATTTGTAAATCTATTTAGGGACACTGAAAAATAAGTAGATACTCTAGTAGAACACTGGTGTATAGCTTGGTGTATAGTTTCGAATTTTGGTACAATTAATCAGATTTATACCAAAATTCGTAAATTTACACCAAGTTATACACCAGTGTGCTACTTGAGTATTTAAGATGCTAACATGGGTGTGAATTTAAATAGGCAGTGAGCAGAAAGTATAGTGGAGTCACAAACAAAGGAAAAATTATTGGAAAGCTGTATTTTTTGAACCGTTTTTAAGCTCTACTTCTTTAACCGTTAAACAAATTTTGTTTTTAAATCATATATTTTAGCGAACTGTTAACTTTTAAATTCATTGCTAATTTTTGCTCAGTGCCCTAACTAAATAGCTGAAATTAGCGCATACAATTTTACGCGCAGTCGTGTCACATTGGTTGTCATTAATAATTCAATAAATGCATTTGAATATTTATACTTAAATACAGACTTGTTGCAACAACATTCCATAAGTGTATGCATATGTGCATGTCAATATTTTCAACGAGCTCACGTACTTTAATTAGTTTGCTTTGAAGTTTCAAAATATTTAATACGCGTTGCTGTTTGGTATTTGCGTAAATTTCTCAAATGCCTTGAATGTGTCGTTGTGGCATTATTAGCGGTTAATTTGTGGCAGCAAAAATTCCAAACATTTTTTTTGTTAATTTATTTTTCCTTTGCAGCTGTAAAAACGTGAACAAATTTAATTTTTTTTTATTTTAACTAACCAGAAGAATGGCATGTGGAAAAATATATATATAGAAGGGCAAATATTTAAAAAAGAAGAATTAAGGACTCAAAAAAAATTTAAATATTTAGGGTACATCTGTACATGTAACTTAACACCAGTTTTGAATGCTTTAAATAACCGCCCAACAAAATGTTTTAAAAAAAGTTAAAGGTTCTTCACTATCACTACATATTATAAAACAAAGTCACTTTTTCTGTCCCTATGTCCCCT